ATTAAAACAATGAGTGGGTTTATTTACACTCTGACTCTGAAAAGCCAATTGAGTCTATTAATGAGATAAATGCGTTACTAAGGCTGTCATTGTCAACATCCACATGAATATTAAAATCACCTACAATAATTACTTTATCTGATTTAAGAACTTGATAAAAACTCTGAGAATTCAGACAGAAAATAAGAGTACGGGCCAGGAGCGCGGATGCACTAGAACAGCTTTAGAGATCAGAGACCTGATATTTAACTGTCCACACTTTTATTTTGTGCTACTGTAGAGTAGTTTTAATTTTTATTAGGTTTTTATGACTACTCCTTGATTTTACTTTATTTAAATAGTTTTACGTTGAGCAGCAGCTCTCTCTCTAGCTCTCCAATGCACACTGCAAAAGCCAGCAATACACACAAATTATTTGCTCAGAAAGTAATATTTTCAACTCTAAAGAATAAGAATTTCCCGAGTACGTGTCTTTGCATTGACTTTGTATGAAATCTGATCACAAATATATAATATATTGAGCTCTTCCTCTGCCTTTCTTCAGGTATCACACAGGATCTTTGGCATTTGGAGCTCTAATTCTGTCAGTTGTCCAACTGATCCGGATCATATTGGAATACCTGGAGCAGAAACTAAAAGGTTCTCACACACACACACACAGTCCTGTTACATCTGCTCCTTTGTCCCTTCCTCCAGCCATGCTGACTTCTCCCAGGCCATGTACTATCCTCAAACTCCCCAGACCTGCCATCTTTCAGCTGTCCACCAGATGTCCTGGTCCTTTACCTCCTTTCCCCATCAGCTGATTGTCCACACACCTGTTCCCACTCCTTGCCAAATTGTAAAGTTTAGCTTTCACGCTTCATGCCTTTGCATTCTAGCCTTAGTTATCTGTCTGTATGTTGTTAACTGGATTTCATTTCAGTCACCATTGTTTGCCTGTTGTGGACTTGTTAGTCTGTACTGTATTTCTATCTGAATCTTTGATCTGATCCTGTCTGCCTGCTGCTGTATTTGCTATTAACCCTTTACTGATCTTGTACATGTTTATCCGTGTAGGTATTGACAACAGCCTGTCCAGGTTCATAATGCACTGTCTGAAATGCTGCTTCTGGTGTTTGGAAAAATTAATACGCTACATGAATCATAATGCTTATATCATGGTGAGTAGGTTAAAGTGGAGTTTTTTTTAGCATGAGCAGTATGAATACTAGATGTTAATAACCAAGTGCTGTTGTGATAGCTGTTTTTGTCACTTCTCCACCAGGTGGCGATCTATGGTAAGAACTTGTGTACCTCAGCCAGAGAAGCCTTCTTCCTTCTGATGAGGAATGTGGTCAGGTACGGAGATTTTAGATCGTCCACTAATTCTCATTTGGCCTTTTTTGTTAGCACGTGGACACATGTTTCAGATCATTTGAGTCTTTATGGGAAAGGTAAGGCTGAATTCTCTGATTCTGCCTACAGGGTTGCAGTTCTGGACAGAGTGACAGACTTTCTGTTGTTTCTGGGCAAAATCCTGATAGCAGGAGGAGTTGGTAAGGGACAATAAAAGTCTTGCCATGTCTTACATTGGTCGAGCCACTCTCATCTTTATGTTCCACATTACCACTTCCAATGCTTGTGTCTTACCCCCAACAAGCAAACACAGACTGCAAGACAGTGTGTCACTGAGTGTGTGTCTGTGTTTGTGTTTCAGGTGTGATTGCATTCTTCTTCTTCACTAGGAAAATCCCTGTTATCCAGGAGGAAGTGCCCAACCTCAACTACTACTGGGTCCCCCTACTGGTTAGAGTCACAAACACACACGCTCACACTTTCCTGCTCTGTACAGATCCTCTGTCAACTTTCTCCTTTCCTGTACGCCAATTTTTTTCTCAAGATGGCAAAGTCATAACCTGCCCTACTCTGGCCTTGATTGGCTTGTACTCGTCTTCATTGGTTTGGTTGGTTAGGTTTATGCATGAGGAGAAAGAGTGGTTAGGGTAAGAATTTCAGGGTGAGCTATACAATTTCATATATCATAATCACATATATATATATATATAT